TTTGGTTGGTTGGTTGGTTTTTGGGGGGGGGTTGTTTGTTTGTTTGTTTGGGTTTTTTTTGCCAGGTGTGTCAATATGTGGGGTAATTCCAGAGGTTTTAGAACCTCTCTGTCCATCTGTTTTCTTTGAAGCTGTGCAGTCTGAATCAGTTCTGCCATCTGGGTAGGAATAAGAGTGTCTGAAGAAATAGAATAATTTAATGTAAACTATGATTAATTCAATATATGAATGGGAGACAGAGTTGTCAATGAAAATCCAGTTGCATCCTTTGATCACAGAAATATTTCCTTGGCTAGAGCAACTAAACCTTTTTCCCATGCACAGACTTAAGGATGTTATAAGGGTACAAATACTGCAACCATCTATACTGGATCTATACAACCAACACTTAGAAGCAATGTCAGAGTTCCATCCTCCAGTGTGGGACGGTGTTCCATCCTGTGCAGTACCCTGATGTCAAATCAATGATGCTAATATGCAGTAAGGTTGAGTTGTGATATAAGGCAGAATACCTCCATCTTTCCTTTTCTGTAGCCTTCTCCTGCCTTTTTGTAAGTTGTAGTGGAAAAGACTAGCAGGATACCCATATTCTGCCCTCATCAGCAGTACCAGGGAACTTCATGCCTACATTTTTTAGGTTGTATTCTTATCCTTCCTTCCTGCCAGGTAAGGAAATATGAATCTATAGGACATACTTGACACCAAGAGTTCTCGATCCCAAGGGTACTCAATTCTGTTCTTCCTAATGGAGAAAGATGCCTAACATTTTCAAGAACAATTTCAAGTTACATTTTAGCCCCTGAGTGCAGGTGAAATGTATGGAATAAATGTTATTCTTGGTTCAGCCCTTTGGCAGTCCACAAGACTGATTTTAGTGTACCTGATCAAACTATTATACAACAGTTAAGCTCCACCTGGATAACTAGATATCATTGTGAAAAAAAAATGAATGCATATGCCCACTCTCTAACTTGCAAAATTTGTGGTGGTGACATAAATAATAATAGATGTCTTCGGAATTATTTTGCTAAATAATATGTAGTCCAATATTGTCTATTTTCGTTGTCTTACTTAACAGTTTCAAAATTCTTTGTTAACATATACAACACACTATAAAAAATTAGATTGATTAATGAGGACAATATGGTCAATAGTTTAATTTAATTACGCTTGTTTAGCATCTCATAATCTCTACTGGGCAAGGTTTACAAAATGACCCAAATTATCTCATTAGGTATTTCTTTTGCTTATAAGGACGTGTAACTCAATGGAGGTTTTCAGTAATTTTGCAGACTGAGAATTTGCTGTTTTCCAAGAATAAACTTAAGGAGATTCTGGATCAAAGCAGCACAGAAATTACAAAAAGTTATGTAATTTTAAAAAATGCTTTCTGTTCATAAACAATCATCCTTACTTAAATAAAATGAAGAACAAAAATTGAAAATAAATCATGGAATAAAAAAGATAGAAATAGCTAAAATATTAAGAGCAGAAAATAAATGAGAGAGATACCAACCTCCATCACCTCCAATTATGTCAAAGTAGTTATTTGTAATAGTCTTTTATATTCTCACAATGTAATAAATAGCACTTACCTAGAGAATTCCAGGGGACCTCAGCTCATTACCAAAAACCAAAAGGATTTTGCATGTGTTTTTACATTACTTTCTACTTTATTTGTACAATACTTTTTACTTCAGAGAAATGTAGGCGTACTTCTGGAGATGTAATACATCAATTTTTTTTCTGCTACCCCACCTAAAAATTCACCCAGTTTTTCTGGAATGAAAAATAACTCAACCACACAGATGAGAAACAAACCTCTTGTATTTTTCAGAAGAGCATCATGGATTAGTTTAAGGTATTTCTGAAGTAAGGTGATCATGTACAAGTGGTACTTCATCATGTCTTTGGACTATTCAAATAGAATTTGAATTCTATTCTATTCTATTCTATTCTATTCTATTCTACTCTAGTCTATTCAAATTGAATAAGGTAAAACAAGAAAACAAACCAGTTTTCAGTATGAGAATTGACTTGTGGGACTGCATGCATGCATTCCCTTGTGCTTCCCTGGGAAATGGTGAGGAATTGCCTTAGCTAGCTCAAAGACCTCTGTGCAGGCTGCTTTGATAGCACTGCTGACTTCAGTGAATTGGAGCCAAAGTATCCTCAGCTCCTTTCAACTTCCTTCAGCTACACAGACCTGTTGGGTTGTTCTGGTGGAGCACATTTGCTCTATCAGATGTGCTAAATCTATTTAGAGGTACAAGGGAAATTACAGCTGGTGACTAGGAGAGGTTTGAAGAGAAAATGTATGTTATTCAGATATATAATTACTTCTGCCATTCCTGCATGGCGGGTGACTTTCTGACCAGGAACTGAAGCAGCTGTTCCCAGTCCCCTGACAGCAGGAGAAGCACAGTCTTGTGAGGGTACCCAGTCTGCTTGAGAGTACCTTCAGAACTGGCTGGCTTTGAGCTGAGTATCTACCCCAAGAGTCCTAAAAGTTGGACGCTGTAGTCTGCTTTTCACTTAGAAATTCAATTAATCCATCATCAACCTTTAGTCAAGGAACGTTGCTATGTTTCACAACATTCAAATAAAAAATTTAATGCTTTTAAAGCTTAACAATTTCATTAGCTCATTTAGCCTCTGAGTCACATGACAATGTTGGTGGAAGAAGGGGGAAGGGAATGCTACAATTGCTCCCTGCAGTCATCATAACGTAAAGGTAGTACAGAATCGATTAATAATTTCAAAATTTAAGTAGGGTAAATTCTGCAATTTCTGGTCAATGGCTCTGAATGTGTGATACAATAGATGGTGAATCATGGAGGTGTGTGCAGTGTGGTCAGGTGACTACCCAAAACCAGATACTCTTGGCATCCATTATGGTACCCTGACAAAAAAAAAAAAAAAAAAAAAAAAAAAAAANAAAAAAAAAAAAAAAAAAAAAAAAAAAAAAAAAAAAAAGGTAGATGTGTAACCAAACCCTTTTGACTTGAAATAACAACTTAGAGGGTTTAGGAGTTTAAAATATTGAGGATACTCTCCTCAAATTTATTTTCTACTGACTCTTTTGTGAAAATAATGGTTTTATTTTACACTCTTTGAAGAAAAAACAATATAAAGAAGTTATTACCAAAGATATTTGAAGTTAGTCTGACTTTCTGGTGAGGAAGTTTCATATTTGAGGACTGACTGGCTGCACTTGAAGTGACCAGGGAGAGTAACCTGGAACAGTTTGCACATGTTGCGGCTGCTAATATTCAGTAACTGTTACAAAAATTTTTCTTCCTGGCAAAAAACAATAGAAGAACTGTTCACTTGGACAATAATGAGCTGCCATTTTAGCCATGACTATTAGTTTAATGACAAGAATAAATGAGAATATCTTCAGTACAGAAAAATCACTAGTGATGCAGAGGCTGCAAGCCTTTGAATATATCTCTATGCCAGCCTAGAAAGGGTCAGATTTAGAAATAAGAACTTCACGTAAATTCACAGAATGTGCATGGTAGGAAGCAAACTTAGTAGGAATTTAAAAAAATGTGGAGGAGGAAAAACTTTTCAAGAACTTCAAATTTCTGTCATTAAACTCTTTGGCAACAGCCTGTTTGGGCAGTGGATATGTGAAGGAAAAGTTTTGCTGTCATAGTGGAACTTGTTTCTTACAGAAAACAGATTATATGATTCTTGGAATATTTGAAATATGGAATTTCAGCATCAGAAAAAGTATCTGAAGTTCTTTTTAACATAAGAAAGGTTTATGTAGAAAAGCATGAAATTTAAAATGGTAAAACCTGTTGTTTTTTTTTCCAAGATAAAAGTGTTCATGAAGAGCTTATATTATATATTTATTAGTAGAGAATTCACAGATGATTGCTTAGCAGTTCACTTTACAGACACACATTGTTGACTTCATGAGCTAATAGAAAGAAAACTATTTCTGCATACCTAGCCTGCAGTGGTTAGATTTACTAGACAATGATGCATGCAATCCCCATATATAAACCAGTCAAGGGATACTATCTACAAGCTTAAATGCCTCACATAATTTATTTTTCCCCCCAACCAACGTCTCGTAACTTCAGCTTGCATGGTTATTGAGCTTTGTGTTCTAGTTCTTGCCATCAATTAATTCTAAAACTCATAAAATGCAAGGTCCTGGTGTGTTTTTTCTTTACAATTCTTTAGTGAATGAAGAATTCCTTACATTAGAAGATACGATCTCTGCAAAGATATTCTTTCTTCATTGCACTGGATGAAATAAATACTGGAGTATATGATTTGATTTGTCATATGTCTCTGTCTGAAAAAGCAAAAACATCCACTCTGCATTTTAGAGCCAGACCACCAGTTAGAATAATGAGCATAGCTCTTGCAATTTAACATGGTTTCAAATAACCCAACTAGTAATCTACAAAACAAAAATAAACTGGTTTTGTTACAAATCTGTTTTACCATCCTGAAGGAAAGGGCTCTAAGTTTGCATAGTTACTTTAGGAGCTAGCAAACACATCTGCATACCCTTTTTTTTTTTTTTTTTTAAATAAAAAAAATTTTTTTTTTTTTTTTTTTTTTTTTTTTTTTTTTTAGTAATATGAGTTTTCACTTTAATTGGAGCTATTATTCATAGATAAATCTTTTGTTAATGGAGGAAGGGAAAAAGATGTGATACATAGTTTCAGTTGGAGATAAGTATCTTGATAAAAGCAGGCATTGGAGGGCAGAAGCATAATTAAGCTGGACTGACTGTGGAGGTCATGGTAGAATAACAAGTATCAAAGGATGCAAAAACAGAGAAGCGTTGGCATGGAGACTGGGAGGCACTTTAGTATTAAATATAGCACATTTCAGATGGAAACATGGAATAGAGCCTGATAACAAATACTGCTGGATTTTCAGTAATTCACATTACCAAAACTGAAATGAAAACCTTGGTCTTTTGCTGTTCTGAATCAATATTTTTTTCAAGTAAGTAAAAGTTTTTATATCTCCATAGATTTTGAGGCTTGTAGTTATGTTCTGTTACATCTTGTATGTCACAGAACATTGATTTTCATCAGGTTATTCTTACTGATGTCCCTTATAGTCTTTTAAAAAGAAGATTCCTCTTTTCTATTAAACCATTGTAGTTGTGATATTGTTATTGTGTTGTGCACTATTGTGACAAATTAGAAGATTTTGTGGTATGTTCTCCAACTGGGACAGTATTTCAGAGATCTATGAAGACCAGGTATTCTGACCTGCCCCAGAAGGCAAGGGTAACACAGGTTCTTATTAACAGATCCCTTGGGGTGGGTTAGAGTGAAACAAAATGTATGGATGTTTGTAAATATCCTTATGTAGGGCTTATTTTAGAACAATACAGCTGCAATGGGAAGCAGGTATGTAGCCATTTTTTTTACTATTATCTATAGGAATATAGCAGTATGAAAGCATAAAAATATTTCAGGAAGGAAGGAATAAAGAAATTAAGGAGTAAAAACATATCATTACCCACAGACCTTGCAACAAACTTGTTGCAATTTAGTTGTCCATTGGCTGAAGTGATGCTCTTGATTCATTGGGGGTGACAGAAGAAGTACTTAAAACACAAAGTCCATTGAGTTTTTGTTATGCTTGGGCTAAGTGAAAACTGGATGATGTAATACTGGATGATGAGACATTTCAGGAGTGTGATGCCTTCTGATACATTACAGCTGACTAGTACATCAGCACAGTTGAGTCAATTGTAGCCTATTATGGGGCCATAATAAGGAAATTATCACAACTGAGTTCACCTGAGTAAAGGCAAAGAAACAGTACCCTGCCTTAAAGGGTTTGCTTCTTTTTTTATCTTACTCAACACCCAGCTTGTCACCTGAGCTGGCGCACGTGCTGTCCCTCTGCATACTCTGCATGAGGGCATCTTGCCCCTTAATTGTTCCAGTCATTCCAGTCTCTCCCATATCCGTAGGCCTGGGATAACGGGGCAATAGTATCACCTTGATTTCATCTCAAGTCTCTCACTAGGGAACAGTTATATAAAAAGCCTTCCTTTGTCTATACAAGGTTTATATACTGGTTTTTGTTGTTTCTTAATTGTATCTTGAAAATAGCTCTTTACAGCTCAGTTGCCTTTGAAAGCTTTGTTTTATTAAAGACCATGCATGAAAGCATAGAGACTTGTTTGTCCATCTATAAACCATAAAATAAATGTTTAAAATTGACAACATCTCTCTCACCTGGTATCAGTTTTCAGTGGTCTTTACAAAATTACTGAACATATGATTGGAAGACAATAATTGTGATAATTCTCTTCAACAAATTCTTTTCTTTCAATAAAATAATTTATTATTAAGTAAAAATTTATACAATAAATTTATAGTAATTTATACAAATTTAAATAAGCATAATTAATAAATAATTAATGACTGCCAAATCAGTCACGCTTAGGACTCCATTTTAAGTGAGTACATGCTCTAGCTCCCAGATGTCTACTAACTATTGTTAAAAGTAAAGGTCATTACAAAACCAGTAGTCTTACCTAGGCAGATTCTGAGTTCCCGGTGCGTGTTTGTGATAATTAATGTGATTTTGTGTGTGTGTGACTTAGAATGCATTTGCCCTGCATTCTTCATAGATGAGATGAAATGCAAAGGTACTGTACATTTAGCATGGGTAACAGAAGAATCCCTCAGAGTTGACATTTTAGAACCATAGTGATGACAATGAAGACAATGAGGTTCTGTAAGAGTATAAATCGCTGTTTTCACATTTCCATGTTCTACTTACAAAAGCTGTATCCTTCATAATTTTATTTTCCTTGGGCATGTACATGTGTTTGTGCACATGTACATCCATAAAAAATTTGTGTCATTCAACCAGTGCTGGTGTAACTAGTTGTACTGGGTTTGTGGGGCAAGGTTTTGTAGCTGTAGGTTACCAGGATGGCTTCCATGAGAAGGTGTTGGAAGCATCCCTCACATCTAACAGAGGCAAGGGCAGCCAGCTCCAAGACTGACGTACCTTGGCCAAGACCAAGCCCAAATCCATCAGTGATGGTGGTATAATCTCTGAGATAATATATTTAAGAAGCAGCAAAAATATATGCCATAACCACTGGACAAGGCCTTCTGGCAGGATTTGTGACGCTGGGGGAAACCATGTTGGAGAAACAAGTTCCTGACAGATTGCGCTCCATTGAAGAGTCCATGCTAGAGCAATTTGTTCCTTCAGGACTGTACTGCATGGGAAGAACTAGTCTGGACCAGCTTGTGAAGAGCTGCAGTCTGTGAGAGGGATTCATGTTGAAACAGTTTATGCTTTCCCATGGGACTGACTCCATTCTAGAGCAGGGCAAGAGAGTGAGGAATCCTCCCCATGAGGAGGAGGGAACAGAGAAAACTTGTGATGGACAGACCACAGCACTCATTCTCCATTCCACTGTGCCACTCAAGGATGAGAAGGGACAGATTGAGAAGTGAAGTTGAGCCCAGGAAGAAGGGAGGGGTAGGGGAAGGGGTTTTAAGATTTGTGTTTATTTCTCATCATCCTGCTCTACTTGATCAGTAATACATTAAAATAATTTCCTCAAGTCAAGTCTGCTTTGCCCATGATGGTGAGTGATTCCTCCTTGTCTTTGTCCTGGCCTTTGAGTGTTTTGTTATACTTTCTCTCTGCTATCCTATTGAGAAGGGGAATGATGGACACCTGGAGGCTGCTCAGGGTCAACCCATCACACAAGGATCAGGTCAGCTTGCCCTTAGTTCTGAAAGGCAGCCACTTAATTTCATTAAATGGCCTTCTGCTTCCAAACTGAACTGTGATGGCTCTAGGTCCTCTTTTTGCACTTAATTTCTCCTTTCTAGTTTTTGCTTGGCCTGGCCAAGTTTGGATATATATATAACTTCTGTGATAAAAAGATTAAAATACATTTAATTCTAATCTGATCCAATCTTATTTTCCAAGTTTTTCATGTAGTTTTTTGTTTTTCTCCTTCAATGTGCAGATGTTGTTTTTCCTGTTTTATTGTGTGTAAAAATGGCATTTTCAGCTCTAGAGTACTAAGTGGGGGGCTTGTGCAATGTATACATCTGATAGGAGATGATGTAATGGAAGAATTTTAAAATTTATTTCCCTTCTCTCTCCAGGTATTCCTCCCTCTCTTTTTAAAGCTTACTCTGTGATGCTAAACCAAGTTGTTGGTATAAGATCTGAAAGATAGGGTTATAAGTACATGTATATTTTATCTAAACAGATAGGTATGTATCTATTGATATATCTATCTGATCCATCTAATCCATCTAATCTATTTAGAGATAGTGTAAATGTGTTTTAGTATTTTTTTTTTTTGACATTCATTCCCATGGGTTACTTGGGATCATTCAGGTTGGAAAAAAGCCCCCCCTTGGGCCTTTTCTGAAAATGGCTTTGACGTTTGCCTATTTTCCATTGTCAGAGATGGTGGAGGGTGGCCTTGCAAAAAGATCAGCCATTTCCATTTTTTCTTGAATGCTGCTTGTCTAGACCAGTGTACTTCTATGGATAAAATTGTCTCTGGTAATCTCTGGCTTGATGCTTGTCCCCTAAGCATGGAGGCCTGGGAGAAGTTGATGGAGATAACAGTGGCAAAGAAGGTATGGAGTAACACATCCTCATCTGTGTCCGCTCTTGGAAATCACCCACATTCTTCAACAATGTCTCTACTATTTCTTTTATCAGACCTTTATGGTTGATGTAAAGCAAATGCCCGTTTTACTTTTGAAATGTCCAATTAAGCTGGGGTTTTCCCTATATCATCCTAATACAGTGCCCAGGCAATGCTTCCAAATTTTGCTGTGGCCAGTCCCTGCATCACCCTCCCACCCTTGCCCTATCATAAGTTATCTGCCAAGGCAGACTGTTCTCCTTACTTCCCTACCTTTTCACAGATTATTAGGTTAGATTGTTCTTGAATTTGAAGGCTGCCATCCTTAAAGCTCTACAGTTTCCCTGAGCTGCTCTTTCATGTTCCCAGGACCGATACATCCAATAGCAGTGCTGACATTTCTGACACAGACTCACAATGGGATTTGTGGCGTAACTTATAGAGCAACTAGCTTTTTCCCACTTTACAGCTGATTTCTCATATTATTTGTTATGTGGATTTCAGGTTTTAAAACGTGATAATTACTTAACATCATCTGAACCTGAATATTCCCTGACTGAGAAGGCACTGAAACTATGAGCAAATAAAACCTGTTTGTGCTGCCTAATTCCAATCAGAATTGCGGCACTGTTCCATAGTATCTCTGCTGGATGAACCAGAACTGGCATATCCATTGATTTCTACCAGCTGTTTTCTGCCAATTCCAGCTCCTGACAGGTAGCAAGCTGTGTAGCTGGCAGCAAAGAATCGCAAACAGTTCAAACATGCCCCAGGGAGGGCAAGTGCTTACCCAAAGCCCATCAAGGAATTGCTATTATGCTTCACAAGATACATATATATTCACCACATCTGTCTCCTATTATTTGTACTCAGAACTGACAAAGGACTGAGATAAACACGTGCCTGTTTAATACTGTACAAGAACAAGGTGTTTGTAAGAGAAAAACATTGTAGACATTTTGATGAACAATTTCCTAATGAAGCTTCTTTTGTATATTCTTTGAAATGTTTCTGTAGCTAGTCCACACTTTAATAGACCAAGTTTTCTATTCAAATACCAAGCTAACCTATTAAAATACTTTAAATCTAGATTTGTTCATTTTCATCTGGTGCTTTGACAATCTCACAACATAGCACAAGCCTTTATATAGGGATGTACTGCCTTCTTTTTTTTATTTTTTAATTTTTCTGAGAGCTCTCTTCACAATGAACCAACCAGAGGATACTGTAAAATGCTTTCTGAAATATTAATGGTTTTACAGCAAGTCACCATGGCTTGACAAGCTCACTTTCTTCACATGAACTATGCAACTGACCATGTGCAGACTTCTAGTTCATTTCG